AACCAACTATCTTTTATAAGTTGCCTTAGTCACAATGCTTTATAACAGTAATACTTAAGTAATTAACACAACCAGCTAAAACAATTTGGTAAAATGTCGAATTACTGCTCTCAAGATCTTATCCTATAAATACAGCCACGGTGTTACCAGAGAATGGGCTCAGTGAGACTTGGATGTAGTTTTTAAGTATTTTTGGAGAGAGGCTACATATGTATCTCAGTTCATAGAGTGCTTGTCTAGTGTACACAGAGCCCTTGGTTCAATCCCAGCACCACATAAAAGTGGGGCTGAAGGAACAAGCCTATAATCCCAGCACCCAGGAACTGGAGGTGAGGAGATCACAAGTTTAAAGTCATTTTTCATGACGTAGGTTGACTCTTCAGGTCACATGAATCAGGGAAATCTTTGGGTTTTTTTGTAAGATGTATGTTCTTACTATAAACAAAGTTTATAAAATTATTTGTAAGAGTCCCAAGAAACTGCAAGTTTGTACATAGGAAATGAGCAAGGCCTTCCTCACACTAAGGCTTCAAGTATGGTTTATTAGTATTGTTTGGCTTTTACTGAAAATAGATTTTTTTACTCACATAATAAATATATCTTGATTATGATTTCCCTCTCTCTACCACTTCCAGGCATTCTCCACCCCCCTCCCATTCAGATCCAGTTCATTTCTGTCTCTCATTAGAAGGTGAGCAACTGGTAGCAGCTCCCCTGCTTCTCGGAACTTTCAGGCTCTTACCCTGATATCTGACTCCTGATTTTTTATTGGTAAGGAATAAGATAATACTATACTATACTGTACTAATATAATAAAATAAAAAACAAAAATTAACACATCAGAATTGAACAAAATGAATGAACAGAAGGAAAAGAACCCAAGAGAACATACGGGAAGCAGAGACCCAGACATTTGCCTGTTCAGATACTTCATAAAAAATAAACTAGAAGCCATATATATATGACTTCATATATATATATATGACTTCTAGTTTAGTTTTGTGTGTATATATATACACACACACACACACACAAAGGACCAATAGAGTAAAAGAGAACATATATTTATTTATGTATATGTGTGTGTATAAAATGTGTGTGTATATTATATGTACATACATATAAATATATACATATATATATAAAATAAGATCAAAGAAAAAAGGGAAAACCCTAACATGACTGTGGTGAGTTCAGAAGTTTTATACAGTAAATATACAGCTGACAGATTTATTAGACTAATCCACCGGGAAGTGTATATGTACACACCCACTTGGACTAACCTGTTTTGCAGAGCTATGGGCCCACCTGTGCTTTGGATAAGTCATTGTCAGTTCTGTAAAAATCTTGTGAAATCATGGCATTTCTTCCTTTTATAGTCTCCCAGCAGTGTATAAACCTGACTTTTCCTGTAGGGCAACTGGATGAAGCCGTGGTGTGAAAAGGATCCACTCAGTCAAGCCTTTATTCGCATAGCCAAAATCTATATAAAAATAGCCTCCCACAAACTTTCTTTATTGGCCATAGTCACTGATAAGAGAGGAGCCTCATACAGGAGGTAACGAGTCTGCTCTAACAGCAGACCCAGGAAGGTGGAATCTCCTGGTCTTCTGCTCTGATTTAACAGTCTGTACACTTTACCTTGGTTTCAACTAACATAAGATCATAGCCCGGGCAATTAATTGTTTTTACAGAACAAAGTTTTAGCTAGTTGCTAAAACTAGCTTCAGAGAGAAAAATTCTCACCTGGGCACCCTGCTGGAGTCAAAAGCAAGGTCCCCAAAAGAGATTTCCTTTAACTCAACCAGCTAGATGCTAATGCAAATCAAGCCCACAGGTTAGTATAGCTGCAGAGGAATTTCACAGCCACTTCTCCCCAGAGATATAAGGCACCTCCCTGCCAGATCCATGGTGTCTTGTGACTCTGTGGAAATACATGTTTGATACTATTGTTACCACCTGTGGGATTGCTAACTTGTCTATAAAAACTTAAAGATTTGTGGAGGGGGCCCCTTCTGCCTTATGCCTTATGATCACCTTCCTCCAAGAAATAAAGAGACATGCAGGAAATATGTGCCTGAGTCAGGTGTTCTACCCCTCAGATCCCGTTCTCAAGCCAGTCCTGTTCTGAACCCCGAGGGAGAGCTGAGGCTGGTACTCAGTGGCTCCCAATACATAACACTGTGAGACAAGGACCCTCGAAAGACGCCGGCAAGTTCACTTTCTGTTGACCTTCTGCTGGCCTTGCAGCCTACACTTAAGAGTAGCTTGTTTCATCCAGGTGGTGGTGCACATGAGTTCAAGATCAGCCTGTTCTACAAAGCTAGTTCCAGAACAACCAGGCTACATGGAGAAAGCCTGTCTTGAAAAAGAAAAAAAGCAAAAGAAAAGAATAGGTTGTTTTCCAAGTGAGACTCCCTTGGAGGAAACTATAATTTCATTTACAAGTGGTTATCAATTGGAGATTGCTTCTGGGTTAGGAATGGGGATATGTGTCTGGTTCTCCTTGCAGTTCTAGGGCCCCATCTGGTGTAGACACATGCCAGCCCTGTGCATTCTTCCTCAGTCTCTCTGAATTCATATGTGCATTGTGTTACAGGAGAGGACCGCTTGTTTGTTCCTGCCACCCTGTTTGCTTAGCCCTGAAATAACCACACAAAAACTGTATTAATTAAATCACTGCTTGGCCCACTAGCTCTAGCCTCTTATTGGCTAACTCTCACATCTTGATTTAACCCGTTTCTATTAATCTGTATATCGCTACAAGGCAGTGGCTCACTGGGAAAGACTCAACATGTTTGACTCTGGCGGCTCCAGGGCAAATCTCTCTCACTCTGCTTTCTTCCTCCCAGAATTCTGTCTTCTCTGACTACCTAAGTTCTGCCCTATTAGGCCAAGGCAGTTTCTTTATTCATTAACCAATGAAAGCAACACAAAGACAGAAGGACCTCCTATACCACCATTGGTCATGTTGGTTTAGAGGATGTTGTTCTCCTGGTATCCTCCATCTTTTTATGTTTACACTCTCTCTATCTCCTCTTCCCCAGCATCTCCTGAGTTCTGAGAGAAGGAACTTGATGGAAATATCCAGTTCAGGGTTGTTGAGTGTTCCAACGTGCTCACTGTTTAATGTCTGACCATGGGTTTCTGTATTTATTCCTTTTTTGTTGTTGTTGCAGGAGGAAGCTTCTCTGAAGATGACTGAGCACTGATCCTTGAGTATAGCAGAATGTCATTATGAGTCATTTCATTGTTCCTTTGTTGTTTTGATTTATTTATTTAGTTGTACAGTAATATCTGGTTTCTTCCTAGTTCCCCGGGCTATCTGGGCTCTGGTTCTTGGTCATTCAAGTCATATCAGGTACTTGGTTTCCATCTCATGGAGCAAAGCTTCAGTCAAATCAGATATTGGTTGGTTGCTTCCAAAAGCATGATGCCCCCACTGCCCTCACATATCTTACAGGTAGTGTTAGCATGGTCAAGAGTAGTGGAAGGTTTGTGAAGTTCAGACTTAATAGCTAGGAGGAGCTGAGTGTGGGGACAGGAAGAATAGAGGGAAGGTTTGGAGCAAAGATAGGAGAAAGTTTGGACATAGGTACCTCCTTCTGTCTATCTGATCACTGGCAGAAGCAGCAAAGATCCCATATAATATCTAGATATAGGGTGCCAGTTGGAAACCATTTGGATTTATTATCTAAAGGGTATCAGAGCCAGATTTGGCTGCAAAGGTAGATAAGTTCAGAAGCCCTTAAGTTGGGTGCTAGCGGTCTCAGATTTTCCCAAAAGCATCCCAGCAGGGAGCTTGGAGGTATGGCTAAAGATACAGTTCCCATGAGTGAGGTAGAGAAAGAAGATCCAAGGCTTGAATATCCTGGGACCAGGGCTTGTGAGTGAGACCAAAGGGCAAGGAACAATTCTTGAGATATTAATCCTCACTCATGGGAAATGACCAAAGGTGAGTTTGATGAAGAGAATCAGCTGCAGCCTTGAAGATCGTGGCTGGGGGTTCCTCTGCTTTCAAGAACACCAGAAAGACACAAGACACTCAATGGTCACTACCACAGATTCAGAGAAGGGTTTAAGCTGGCTACCAATTGCAGCCGGTGTTGGGTGAAGAGCCTAGCGATTGGTTACTTGGAAAGTGAGCCTGTTGCAGGTAGACTGGGTACAGGATCCAGCTGCTGATAGACAGGAGGAACCAAGAAAGCCTGCCACGTCTCATGACACCAACGTAATAGTTTAGCAGCATTGGGGAGGCAACCTTGGTGGGTTGAAGCCAAGGGACATGACAAAATTATACCATGCAATTGTTATGTCCAAATCCGGGAACTCCCCACAAAAGCCAACAAGAAAACAGGGTCCCACACGTAAAAGCAAAGAGCCTTTATTTTAATCAAGTTTGCAAACTCGGTCTCCCCTCATGTCCAACGTACTGGAATAACCAGAGAGCCCCAAGCTCAATTAGAATAGGGTTTTATAGTAGCAAAGGTGGGGGTGAGGGGTTTTTGAGGTTTTAAGACCCCTGATTGGCTGACAATGTCTAGGGTGTCCTGGTGAAAGTGCACTGGCAGGTGATTTTATCTACAGCACTTGGAATGCCAGGCATTTCCTTTGAGTGGTCTGTTCCTGGGTGGGGTTTGGGTAACTCAGCTTGTGGTTCCTCTTGCAGTCAGACATTGCCTCTGGGAAGAGTTGAGAAGACAACTTCATCAAACCAAAAATTATTAGCACCATTGCTGTTGGCAAAACTTACTCCAGAAAGCACAAGATTGGTTCAAAACTGTAGGATATCTTCCACCCTAGTCTCTTAAACCCACTGAACACAGTGAAAAACCACATTGCTTCCACCCGGCAACTATCAACATGTCGTCTTAAACAAGTGTGCTCCTTGGCAAATTACAGACTGAATTAAAAGGGCAGAGCCAGGGAGATGGTGAGGCAGAAGCAGAACAGAAAGGCTGAGGCAGGTAAAGGAACACTGTGAGGAAAGAAGCTCTTACCTGGAGTCCAGCTGGTGTCCCAGCAGCTAAGAGTAGATAGTTGAAGAACTGTAGGCAGAGGCTGCTCATTGGTTTCTTGGCTGCCTGGCCACATAGAAACTATATTAATTAAAACACTGTTTAGGCTATTTGCTCAGGCTTCTTATTAACTAACTCTTACATCTTAAATTAACCTATTTCTATTCATCTATGTATGGCTTCAAGACTAGTGGTTTACCAGTAAGGTTCTCTTTTCAGAGAGGCATATATAGTTCCTGTTTCATGACCAGGAAGCTACTTCTCACTTTTCCTTAATTTCTCCCAGGGCTTTGCTGGTCACTGAAAACAGACAAAGAGCTTCAGTTTGTGCCCTGGCTGATTGTGGGATGCTCTGACTGAAATGCTCTCATCTACCCTGCGGGAAAAGAATCCTGATTACAAGACATCAAGATTAGTAGCACAGCAATGCCAAATACCAGGCTATTCCCATCATCCCAAATTCCAACAAGCTTCAAATTCCAACAATATTTAATCTTATGGGTGTGAAATGTCATGCCAATCATGGGTTTAGCTTTAAAACCTTGTCAGAATGGATAGAACCATACGTTCTCTCATGGATTGGTGAATTTACTCTGTATCAGCAGGCAGATTACAACTGTTCTACTCTAGTTGGCTGAGGGAGGATTCCAGGCTCCAGTACATGCTGCCCAAATCTCATACAGATAACGAATACCTGATAACCGGTAAATTTAAAAAATAAAGTGAAGAAACAGATCACAAAAAGCTCATTCTGTGCTGACTGTTTGGGGTGATTCTTTGTGAGCTCCACTGGAAAAGGAGTCGTGTTTTGCAAAGATTTAGCATCTCTTTAAAGCTGTCTTCCCCTGCTGGCCCAGTCTGTGAACCTTCACACTTGTACATGCATGACCTGAATAAATCTGAATGACAGTTGCATAGCCACCCAAGAAACAGCAAAGAGATAATCAATAGGGCATACCTAACAGAGAAGTCTAGGCATTTCCCACCCATATGCAGGCAGTAGCACCTTTACAGCCCACAGGCAGTTAACTCTAGGGTGGAAGCCTTTGTTACTCTTGGTTTTAATGGACTTTCCCTGCATCTAAGTTGAGTTTTTTAGCTTTGGTGCAGGATCATCTGGGGGTTTGAGTCTAGTGTTAAAATGTAATTTGGAGGTCATTAGGCTGGTTGAACTCCATGTCTCTAAATTCCTACCAACGCAAGCCAAAACCAACACAGAGTACAAGGCAAACTGAAGCCTACAACTACTCACAAACCGCCCACACCCTGGAGCATAGCTCAGTGATAGAACGCTTGCCCAGACAGCACGTGCAAGGCCCTGGGAAGACTGAAGCCCTGTGAAAACAAACAAAACTTGCAGAAACTTTGCCTTCTATCTAGAGACTGTCCACTTTAACCCATCACATACTTTCTGTCTTGCTTCTGAAAACAACTTACAAAGCGTTCTCCTTTTTCCCTCTCAACAGAGCCTAAACTCCCCATGGGTTGACCCAGCCTGGTCCATGAACCAGGGTTGGGGTGGGAGGTGGGGGATTTTTCAATAAACTATTTAAACTGTTGATATGTCTGTGCTTGCCTTTTAATGGCTGCAATGCCTGGATCTCAGCCAGCACCCACAGCAAGAGAAAATAAATAAATTAAAGATTCCATGTATAATTTTTTTGAGATTTCTTTTTATGTATACTCTATGTGAGTTTATTCAATGGTGTTCAGGTGCTGCAGTTATCATAGTCAGTTTGCAGCTGCCTGAGGTGTGTGCTAGAAACTGAACTCGACTCCTCTGGAAGAGCAGCCTCTAAGGCATCCCTGCAGCACCCTGATGGATATAATCCTGGTTCTCAGATGTTGAGCATTCTGGGGACTCTGTTGTGCAACCATGTTCAGAGACATGCTGCATGGATTAGGAGTCAGCCTAAGCAATAAGAAATAATTATAGACTAAATCTCGGATTAGAAGGAGTATAGAATCAACATTAAACTACAGCTCTTCCAGGGAAACCTAGGAGGTTGGAAATCAGTTCAATAACTAAGAGCAGTGTCTATATGGCTGGTCACAACCACCCATAATTCCTCTTTCAGGGGACCCAACTCCCTCACATGACCACAGAGGGCACCAGCGATCCATGTGGTGCAAATACTTACATGCAGAAAACACGCTCACACACATAACAAACCTCCAATCCTTACTAAAAACTGGCTTGCCAATTTCCTGAAATCAGTAATCAGTTTTTGAAAAACTGTGCTTTGTAGATAGCATGCCATGATGTCTCAAATGGCCTGGCCTCACATTTACCATGCCCCTGCCTTCTGCTCCTAAATGCTGGATTATAGACATGTTCCCTGAAACCTGTCTCTAGTCGGCAGCCCTTCAGGCCAGTTTGGGCCAGTTCCTAGAAACAGTAATGTCTTAAAAACCTAGACCAAGTGTGTCACTCATTATACAACTGACAACAAATAATTTATTCTGTTGTAATATGAGCAGCGGCAGGGCTGCGTCCCCGGCACCCAGCCGTCCGCATGGCTAGGTTATGCCCCGAAATAATTAGACGGAAACTGTATTCTTTCAAACACTGCCTGGCCCTGCTAGTTCCAGTTTCTTATTGGTTAGCTCTTACATATTGTTCTAACCCATTTCTAATATTCTGTGTAGCCCACGAGCTGGCTTACCAGGGAGGATCTTAACCTGTGTCTGTCTGGAGTGGGAGAATCATGGCGACCCCCCACTCAGCTTCTTTTTCCCAGCATTCTCTTCTGTCTACTCCGCCTACCTAATTTTCTGTCCTATGAGGGCCGAGGCAGTTTCTTTATTATTACAAGACCCACCTCCATCATTATTCTTTAGGAATATGCATTTATTTAGGTCATATTTAAGTTGGAGTAGCTAATCACTAAGTCCCATTTTAAATATCCCAATTTAAGTGTTCATTTGTTTATATCAATTAACTTGAATATGATTCTTAATTTTTATTTTTGTCTGAATAGTATTCTTGACTTTTTCACTTGGAGTACAAGTTACTTAAAACATAGTACTGAAAACATAGATCTGCGTTTCTGTTTATTTTAAACAGAATGTTCTATTTGAACATCAAATACCTCATTAGATAGTAGCAGAACAGCCACGAATCGTGTCTGTGAGCCTGTAATCTCAGCACGCTAGAGGCAAGACACCAAGATCATGAGTTGAGACCAGACTGAGCTATCATATGGAAGCTCATCTCAAGACAAAGAAATCAGTCAATAAGTAATAAAATAAACAGCAATAATAGAAGATACTTCTTTAATGTCTTTTGTCTAAACACGTGGCAAGCATTAACTTATTTATTTATTTTTCATAGCTCTTCAAAGTGTATTCTCTAATATTCTTATATTCTGTGTGTGTGGTGTCTGTTGAGGAATGTGCCCAGGATCAGAGCTGATAAGGAGGGATCTGAAGCTTCAACTAATCAGTCTGACTGCTCTTCACTACAATGTTACAATGTCAAATAAAAAATACTAGGCAATTAAAACTGTATGTTCAGCTGATTCTTAAATATTATGGACCCTAATTGCTAGTCTGATGATGTTTGTATTAGGGCTCCATCTCTAAATCAAATACCTAAAGCTAACTTCAAAGAAGAAAGTGCTCATTTTGCTGTATAGTTTGGATATCTGGGTCCATTGGATGTCTGTCCCATTGGCCAGGCAGAACACTGTGGCAAGTGGAGTATGGCGGACCAAAGAAGCTTTACTCGTGGTGGCTGGGTAGCAAAGAAATTGAGGAAGGCCCAGGATCCCAATATACTCTTCAGTTAGACACTCCATTGACCTTGTTGTTTCCCAGCAGACCCTATCTACCCACTAAAGGTTTAATCACCCCCGAATGGCATCATGTGCTGAGAACCCAGACTTCAGGGTGTGGGCCTTTGGAGGACAGTTGACAACCCAAACCTACTCCCCATATTCATGTGTTGAAATCCTAATTCCCAGGTTCAGTAGTTTTAGGAAGTAATTAGCTCCCATGAAAAGTAAAACCCCTGTGGAATCTGGCTATACCTTATAAAAGAGGCCCTTGGGAAGTCATTCTGCAGTCTCACCTGTCAGTGTGGAAGCAACCCTACACAGAGAGCAGAAGTGCCAGTATCTAGACAGTATCTAGAACTATGCAGCCTCTGCAAGAGTGAGGGTTCTATTGTTATGATGTGTGACATAGGGCGTTTTGCTATAATACCTGAAATAGGTTTGGATACTAGGTTTTTCTCATGGTCTCCTTTATGGCTGCTAAGAAATCGTTATTTAAATTTAGCAACATTACCACCTGCTGAAATGATTATCTTCTCTTCCTCATTAGTAATGTAATACTTTTCCTGTTATGAGAGTGAAAAGTACCCATGGCTTTCGTATAATAGAGTACTTACGTTTATTGACGGATACATTTTATGACTAGTCATATTACCATCAACCTCTAAGACTAGGAGGGCAGTTTTAATGTTCCTTTTTTTAATGAGTTGGCCTGGGAAAAGAAAAAGGCAAAACCAAAAGCAAGGCTAACAATGCCCAGCAGAAGCATGTCAACTGAAGCCCTTGGGGCAGAGGAAGCCTGGCACAGTGCACCTTCTTTGCAAAGAATTTCAAAATACAAGGAAGTTAGAAGTATATTAATTTATAGAAAACAAACATAAGAAGCAAAGTAATTCATAGACAACAAACACATCTTTCATTCAGATAATGCTGTTGTTCAATTTTACACCATGTGCTTTGCCATTCTCTCTGTGGGTGTGTATGTATGGACATGCAAACACACTCACACATTGTTCTGAACATGTGAGGCTAAATCACATTCACATGCCCAATACCCAAAATATCATATATTTTCCAAGACTAGAGAGAGTCGTTCCTGCAATGACAGTTCACTCTAATGTAACCCCTGCGTGTACTCTAATCCACAGGCTGACCTCATATTCTTTGAAGCATATGCAAGACACATCCAGGATCCTTCCCTGCGTGTGGCTGCCGTGTATTTTCAGTATAATGTAATCTGGAAAATTTCCACGACATTTTTTCTTTTCTTTTTTATTTATATTTTATGGCATTGACATTTTTGTTCTTTATTTTCTTCTTATTTATTGATTTTTATTGAGCTCTATCTACATTTTTCTTTGCTCCCCTCTCTGCCTTTCCCCTCCTCCCTTTAACCCTCCTGCAAAGTCCCCATGCTCCCAATTTACTCAGGAGATCTTGTCTTTTTCTACTTTCTACTTCCCATGTAGATTAGATCTATGTAAGTCTCAGTGTCCTCATTGTTGTCTATGTTCTCTGGGATTGTGGTTTGTAGGCTGGCTTTCTTTG